AGACACACTTTGATTTGAGAAGGACTTTTGTAATTTTGTTCTTGAATCTTGAATCTTAAGTCTTCCACACTGAAATACATACAACAGTCACTTCTTCAGACGGACATGCACATGAAACAGACTCACACACAAATCACAAACACTCTTCGAAAGTATATCCCTCATCCGGAGCCCAGCAGCAGCAACATGTGTGGACATTTTTGCAGCGATCTGCTGAGTCTCCCCAGAGTTTGGTTATGGACATCTTATCTTTCCAAGAACAGATAAAACATGGAAAGAGACTCTTAACAGCCGTCCTTAGGGTGCAGTTTAGTTCCTCCCACCAGAGCTCCCATTATAGTTTATTATGTTGTAGTCTTTTCTGCGGGTATTTCTTGCAAACTGAGGATGGAATCTTTTCTGTCTTCACTTGGAACTTAGAAAACAAGCTATTTTTAGTTGGAACGTTTTCTCTAATGTGTCAGAGTGTGTGAAAGTGACAAAAAATCTCTCTGTGTGCACATGTGACCTTCCACACATCATGCTGGTCCAGGCTTTACTGTCAGAAAATCATCAGCAATGATGATCTTGAGCAGGTCACCAGGTTGAATGACAGCAGCTGTTTCACTCAGCTTCACTTGCTTTGCTTCCCTCTGCTCAGAGTTAGATGGATGTCAGGTAGGTACTGTAAGGGAAGTGCAGTTTGGATGTTTCCTGGATCAGCGTTACCCTTAAAGTCACTTGGAATGATACAGCCATGTGCAAGAAAACATTTACAGCTAAAAACCAAATGCAGGTTGTAACCCCCGGCACAGTAAACAATCGTCTTTCTAAAAATATTAATTTAATATTTAATATTTAGAAAACATTTAGTTGTACTGCAACTTCACACCTGACATCCTGCTAAAACTGTTAGAGGCGAATTAGAGGAGTTCCATTTAAACTGATCACATCATCTGTGTGTGCGTGTGTGCGTGTGTGTGTGTGTGTGCGTTTTGCAGCTGTGTCATGACTCCCTTCTCTGTTGACTCACAGACCCCTCAGAGTAATTCATTTGAATCAGGTAAAAATAAATAAAAATGCTTTTATGCCTCATCAGCGTGAGAACGCTTGATTCTCGGCCAAACAAAAGGAGAACTTACCATCAATGTGAGTAAACAGCCAAAGCCTTGGAGCTGGCTCAGGGAAAACAAGCTGTTACTCATTCTCTTCTGATGTTTATACGTCTGGGACACTTTCTCTTATATGTGTCACACATGAAGCTAGGAGCATTTTCAGGAGCCTCCCCAGGGCTCACGGTTGTGTTTGTGATTAATGACCTCTTTCACACTAAACTCTAAAAACTGCACAGCGGCCAGCAGCGAGCTGTTTGCTTTAGTTCGAGGTCTTGATGTGGTTTAGTGGTTTCGGTCTGCGGTCTCAGTGGCTGCCGTCTGGACGGTGATAGACAGCACTGACCACCGACTGTTGACCTTTGACACCAGATAAAGAAAAGCAGCAGAGAGGGGTCAAAGACTGGGGAGGTCACAGAGGTGCAACGAATCATGTCAACAAATCTAAACACACCAAGGACGCTACGGGTCCACTCCAATAATTCTTTGGTGGAAAAAAATCTGGAACGATAACAAAACTTCAACATAACAGGCCCATTTATGCTGAAGAGATTTCCTAACATTAAAAGAAGAGGGTTAGATATATTCTGTTATTGTCACTAAATCCAATGAAAAGCCCAATGATGCTTTAATTCTTTTTTTCAATTTCCCCAGTTTGTCTTAGGCTAGAGGGCTTTAAGCATCAGGCCTTGTTGTTCCCACTAGATGTGCATTTTAAAAATAGGTCACCGATGAACAATTATTTAAAAAATGGTGAAATAATATCCTATGTCTGCTGGAACCTGCAGTTTTTAGCAAACACTACACAAGGGAATATGTGGCAGAGTAATACATATTGCTCAATAACAGCTACTAAGCTAAACAGACCATGTAGTGAGAATGCCAGGTTAAGTTTAATCTAGACAAAAAAGCTTGTGTAATTTTATCACTTTTCCACAATTAATTCCATCAACCATTGATGCATTTATCAATCAGTCAATACTCACCTGCACCATCTGTGGAACTAAGTCATGATTAATGTCAAGAACCTGCCAGAAACTGAGAAGCTCTGTCATCTTACTGTCTTGACAGTGTTGCATCTTGCACAATACAACACTGTTGCATGTTGCACTTCATGAAAATTTACTCACCAATGTCCAGAAGTTTGATGCGCTTTCTTAACATTGCCCTGGAAAAGGTGCAGCGTGAGACTGCAAAAATGTTAAAGTCTACTGCAGAGTTATTTGACCCAGGAGTGAATGGGGATTGTATTGTGTATGAAACAAATCAGGCATGTGTATGGAGAACTGATGTCTTATGTGGTGCAGCTTGATAGAACTTTAAAGAAAGATTGGGCCTTGGCAGAGATACGGCCTCATTCTGGTTTTTATTTATGAATTTACATCGTACAAAGTGCAGTTGACAGAACGTTTGCAGTTTTTGAAGGTATTTGGCTGACAGGTTGTTTTCCAGCATTAACACACCACAGTTCCTCTGTGGATTCAGTCTGTCTCCATGTCTTCTGTCTCTGACTGACTCCATGGTGTTGAGATGCATGTTCTGTGAATGCCAGACCATCTGTTATAGGACTCCATGTTTGTCTTGTCTCTGAGGACAGTTCTTTATGGCTCTGGCTGCATGTTTGAGGTCGTTGTCTTGCCGCAGAATGAATTTCGGACGCCTCCCTGATCATATTGAGCGATGGACATAAGAATCTAGACGTCTAAAACTTTTACACAACAATGTATTTGTGTCTCCAAGCACTTCTAGTCTACCTTAAAACGGTTGGCTACCTGCCTGAATGTGTGTGTATGTGTGTCTGTCTGTGTTGCTGAATTATGGCTGTAACCGTGACTGTAATTGACCCTCCGTGGTGCAGACGCAGCCTGTGTGA